ATATATTTTACTTAGAAAATATATATTTAAAGTTAATATTTAAGATTTTATTTTAAAAATTACAAAAATTAAAAGTGAACGCAGGCAAATTTGTCTGTGTTACAATTTAAGAGATAAAGATATTAATTAGTAATTTAAACTAAGAAAAAATTCTTTAGTCAGGTAACTGAACTGAAATATTTAATATCAACTAATTGTAACTAATTAAGATTACTTTATACTTTACTTTTAGAAGTTCTCAGATATTTATTCAAATATTTATATTTATTTATTTTCTTTTCGAAAGTTCTCAAACCCTTTGCTTCTTCTTAATATCATTTATATTCTGTCAACTAATTACTAATACTCAACTAGTTGTATAGGTCAACTAATTAAGAATTTACTCAACTAGTTACTCAAAATTTATTTAATTTAGATCAGTTAACTGATTATAGCTCAACCAGTTCAAATCACTAATATTAATATAATTTCTACAAAATATTTTTTTGTTTAATATTTAACTAAAATTTTGTTAAATTATCATTGTCGTTAGTATTATAGGACTATTGAATAGCAGATATCTTGTCTGATATTTAACTAAAATCATAATGATATTTTGTTAAATTATCATTATGTATTATAGGACTATCAGATAGCAGATATCTTGTTGATATTTAACTGAAATCATAATGATATTTTGTTAAATTATCATTGTATATTATAGGACTATCAGATAGCAGATATTTTGTTCAATATTTAATCAAAATCAATCTGTCAAATATTAGTAAGATATTAACTAACTATCTTTTGTACTGATATTGTGTTAGATTATCATTTTGTATTATATGAATATCAGATAGCAAATAGTATATATGGTATATATAATAGATATAAGAGAAATAGTAGATATGATAGATCTGATATATATGATAAATCTAGTAGAAAGTGTAGAAATAGTAGATGGAGTAGAAATTATTGATTGTGGGCACAGTTGTGATTATCCAATTAGAATTAAGTCATATATTTTATATAAATTAATATTTATAAAACCTTAAAGATCTCAGGATCCTGTAATCAAAATCATATGATCTTGTGCTCATTAGAACTGTCTCGATGTGCTAATTCTAATGGTATAAGTTTCATTAAGATTGGAGTAATAGTTCAAAAGTTATTAGCAAAAATGTAAATTTTACTATAGAAAGTATATTAACACTTTTGGAGTAGCCTTTTATGAAGAAGATCCAAAAAATATTATTCTAATTCTGTCAAAAAACAAACCAGTTACTTGTCTTACAAAACTCTTTGAAGCAATACTAAACCTATGCATTTTCTCTTTGCTTCTAAAATTTCAGCTATTACCTGATGCCTCTGTAGTACCTACTACATTAGCTTCATTTCTACAAATAATACTGAATATAATACTTCTATTTCTAGCTTTATTACTCTCCCTACAAACCTTACAAACAAAAAAACCAAAATGTTTCTTCAGAATTTAGAAGGAATTACTAAAAGCATTCTATCATCCTCTATACCAACTTCTTGCCAATATATCTGCTCAAAATGCTGGCTTCTAATTAGATGCAAGCTCTCTAACAATAATTACAAACTAACTAATGATGCTATATTCTACAAAAATGATGCTTACTACTATACTTACCTTCCTAATAATATTACTAACTCTTCCTTCTTTACTAATTTTAGCTCTACCTCTTTAGCAACTCATGACTTCTCCTCTACTAGAAAAGATCTTACTTCTACCTTCCGAAAACAACAACAACTCCAAAACCTACACATTCTCTCTTTAACTCCTTTAACCCTAACAAATAATACTAATACTTAGCAATAATCTAATACTACTCTCACTACGAAAGAAACCTCACCAGATATAGATATTGATTTTTTCTTCCTCTTAAAAGATAATCAAATTAAGGATCAAACCTTATCAACAAACTCTGATAGTATGGAATTAGATATACTAAAAACACCAAATCCAAAAGAAAAAAACACTAATACTACACCAACTCAATAAAAATAGTTTTAATTTTAATATATAAATTTAAAAATTAATACCCGTGTACAAACACACATGTAAATTAAGTAGTTTTCTTTCAAATATTATCAAAAAAATTTTTTAAATATTTTAATTTTATAAAAATATATATCATAGATATTGTTACAAAAATTTTCCTGGCAAATTTGGGAAATATTTTTGAAATTATCAATTATGTAATAAATGTATAAAAATTTCTATCAAATAATCCCTATAGTATCCGCAAGCACATAATTCTTTCTCTCCTTTAAACCCCAAGCTTCATAGAACCAGTTCTTATAGGTACACTGCAAAGTTTGATTCCAAATCTCAGGTACGGTCCAGCAACTTGGAACAAGCTCCCTCTTTGTAACCAGGCCTGCGGCCCTTGAATTCCAAATGACTCTGATCATTGGCAATCCCTCTTCGTATTTGGAGTATATATTCTTAATGGCATTCAACATCTTGATGTCCTTTATCCGATGGATCATGATGGTCTCGCCAAAGAAGAAAAGGTCCAGAATCACGTCAAAGTCATGAATAGGATTTTGGCGACTGGGTACCCAACTTAAAAAGCCGACATAATGCACGAAGTACTTCTTCTCCCTAGCCACATGACATACCCACTCACCAACTAGTTGGTCTTCATTGCCTTCGACATTTGAACTAACCCAGTGTGATCCAACAATGTCTATAACGAGATCGCGGGAGAGTGTGTATCCTGCACCTTATTTCGAGTGTAAGGTATTAGATCAAAAATTACATGAGCGCTGATGATAAATAAGAATAAAAAAACACACCTCCCATAAACGTGTATGGTTCCTGTCCTATAGGATTGCCATAGTACGCACGTTCTCTCGGTAAGTCTTGAA